CTTATGGCTCCAAGGAATAATTAGAACAAAAAATAAGCAGAATTATTTTTTTTCTAAATTATGTGTACCAAAATAAATTAATGAGTGAAACTTTTTTTTTAGTTCCTTTTCATGGACCAAAGGCTGGCATGTATAAATGCCTTAATGACTCTTTCAGGAATTTGTTAAATTCACCTCTCCCCTTCTACTTAGATGAAAAACATCAATATTTTGTTTAGTTTTTGACAATCTCAGCATGAAATTTATCTCAGTGTAATAAGACAATATTTATATGAAACCTGGGTTGTGATGCCGTATAGTGCATATTTTTAAAAGTTTAACCAACCTAAGACTATTTAAAATTAAATTCTCTAAGCAAAACAGTGTTATAATAAAATTAGATTTCAACTGGGAGCTGTTTTAAAGCACTGAATTGAGAATCATTACTAAAACTATAATTTAATGAAAACTACCTGATTTTCAGTTGTAGTAAATATTCTATTATGTTTAAGTATTTCTATTATAATGGCATGTTTCAAATAAACTCAACCACATTTAGTGAGTACATATTTTGTGAAAGGCATTGGATGGTAGGTGTAGAGCAGTGAGGGATATAGAAATTACTAAGACTTCTGTTTCCTGAGATATGGCAGACTAGGTACCGTAACCAACCCTCCCGCTGAAAACAATCAAAAAGTGTAGGTAGGGTGTAATATTAAAGAAAGACAAAATCTTTTTAAATGTATTAATCATTTCCAAATACTCAGTGGCCAAAATCTAAGCGATAGGAGGAACCTAGAAGGTACATTGAGCATTGAAGGTGGCTTTTGACTTACTTGAGTGCATTTACTTAATCTTAAAAAACTTACATGTTGATTATTACTTCATGAAAATGCAGGAATAGAAGACAAAGCCAGAAACTGCCCAAGTAGAACATCTACTAGATTAAGTTACATAAAAGTGCTGTTCTCTCTATGTCAGGTAAACTAGGAAGAAACTGTCCTTTCCAAGGGACTGAAAAGAAACTGTGTTCAACTTTGGTGGTGGGAGAGGGTGGGAAATATTCTCTGAAATTTTGGAACCACAATTAAGGCAATGTATACCATTATAGTGAAGTTGCAGAACACTGAAACTGAAAAGATCTTAATTGAAGCCAGGGAGGACATTGTACCTGCGAAGGAACAACAGTTAGACTGAGAGTTGACCTTGAGAGTAACAAGGGAAACCCCGCATTCAGAGGAATGATGATTTCAATGGGCTAAGAAAAGATGGCTGTGATTCCTGAAGTATAGTCACCTAAAAACCTTGGAGGAGCAAAAGTGAAATCCTCCCCCCCCCCCCCCCCGCCTTTTTTAAGACAAAAAGAAAGAGGTAAGAGTTTGCCACCAACAATTCTGAAGGATATGCTTCAGGAAAAAGAAAAACTCTATCCTGGTTGAAAGATAGAAGATACCAAAAAATAAAGATTTTTCCACCTGGGAAAATCTAACAGGCATTGACTATATAAGCCAATGATAATGTTTTGTGCAGTTAAAAATGTAAGCCAAATAAAACCCACATATAATAACAGTGGCATCTAATTGGGTAAGGATTCTTACAAGATTCTTGTAAGAATCTTTTAGGAAGAACGTAAAAATTTACTTAATTTAGATTTTTCTTTTACATATCCATGTTAAAACCTTAAGGGTTACTATTAAAAGACTAGAAATAGACTGAAATCTGTAAACCATAAAATGGAGAAATAGAATTGAAGATAATTAAGACATGTTTGTTTTTTCCCTTTGCGGCTCTTGGTACCTACTAAGCAGTGGCGGAGACAGGGAGTAACTTTGGGGGGCTCTCTTTGCCCCAATTTATGAACCACATAGATTTGCTTGGCTTGGTGTTTCTTCCCACCCCTCACCTCAAAGCTTGAGTTGCTTTGATTTATTTCCAGACTGGAGAAACCTCGCCAAGGCTTATGGCCTTCCTGCAGGTCGAGGAGCCTCTGGAAGGGGGCCAGCAGACAAGCAGAGATGACCACGCCTGAGTGCTTGCAGTACCTCGCCTTGGCACTCTCTGGCTTCCTTAGCATGTGCCTGGGAAGGGCCAGGTAACTCAGACCCACTGTGTGTGGGAGTTACCAACACTTGGAATGAACATTAACCAAGGAAAGGCGGGAGACAGGAAGAAACTAGCAGATTGTTCTTGGTCTTTTCTTCCAAGGCTCAGTAATTCCAGACTGTGGACATATCCTGAGAGACTGAGCTAAGCTGTAGCCAGCTTGGTTACAGACCCTCTTACATTAGTGCTCTCTCCTTGAATGACTGACTTCCTTTTTTTCTCTCTTACTCACGCTTTCCTGGGATTGCACCCTTTTGATAACGTAAACATTTGTCTTAAGCTGTGTTCTAGTGATGCCAGGCTAAGACACAACTTTTAGACACCTCTCCATAAGCTTCATTAGCAAATCCTCCAGAAACCATTCAAAATAAACATGAAAACTAAATAATAAAAACTATTCTACCTGTGCATATGCAGCTCTAAGTTGATTTTCTACCTCTTCCTCCCTTAAACAAAATTGATGCCATCTCCTGAGCTCTTGCCATATAGAAATTTGGAGTCCTGGTAGTAGAAAAGATAAGCAATACACTTGAACACCTCTCATCTGAGATAAAAATGTGGTAAGTTCTATAGTAGAGGCACAAAATATGTTTGAGAAACGGACTAGTCAGCCAGGTTTGACGGAGTACAGAGTATGTTGGTGAATAGTGAGAGGTTAAAATGGAAAGGTTGTCTTGAGGTTTCAGTATTACAGACCTTGAATTGAAGGCTAGGTGCCTGAATTTTATTTAGTGGATGATGGGAAGTCAATTAAAAGTTTTTAACAATAGAGTGACAGAGGAAGACAACACATGTTATAAATATATAGAGATGTATATACACATACACACGTTTGTACATACATGTATGTATTTGAGATGAGGGTTTACAAAAATGTATCCCCCTCTGCATTAGAGTTTCAACTTCAATTAGTTCTCTTACTTTGCTTCCCTGGTAACCTGGCAGAGATTATCACTATGTTTCTAGGCAACATTGCTTCTGATAAAAATGACCTGATTGGTAAAATTCATGTGCACTGGGAGAAAGAATAAATAAACCCTAAGTGCAGTGATTCTTAATTTAGCATGTCCCTTGTCGGGCCCTGGAAGCTATGCCTGTGGAGTTGTTAGACGAGGTATGGGCACCTGTGCGATGTGGGGCTTTTAAGCCAGGACAGCTCCACCCTCCCAATGTGAGTCTCATCCTGAATGGACCATCAGAAGGCCTTCCATGAAAGAGCAGTGTTTCACCCTGCCCTCTTGGTAAGCTGGTTCCTGTCCTGTGTAGGTTGGTGACAAATGTGATCTGCTTGAATGTTTAGTTAAATCAGATGAAAATCAAACGGTGAAAAGAACACTTTAAATAAGACCAAAATTATAAAAGTGATATGACTGACAATAAGAATATTGTGAAACATATATTAAAAAAGATACTTCAAACGAATTCAGAAGACAATTTAGGAAACATTTACAAATCAGATGGAAGATAAAGGGTTAATGACTATAATATCTGTCTTGTTAATGAGAAAAATATAAATAATACAATAGAAAAAAGGGGTGCCAAAGGCTAAGAATAGGCACTTGACAGAAAAGCAAAACCAAATGGTGAATAGACAAATGGAAAGATGCTCAGTTGTTAAGAGATCAAGGATTACACCACAACATCGCATCCCATGTCAGGCTAATAACACTTCTTGTGGGAATTTGGTGGAGGGCCATGGTAGTAGTATTTACTAAAATTAATAATTTCCCTACTCAAACCTATCCATTCCTCTGGTACTACCACATAATAGTAAAACCACATTATGAAAATAAGCAAGGATATTTATTGAATGCTGTTATTACTGACAACAATGTGACTGCCCAATAGTTGGTAATAGTTGAATAAAGGATGGAGTGGTTGGGCAGTTGGTGGAAGGGGTAGATGAAGAATGACATGAAAAAAATGATACCACAAAAGATAATCCTATTTGTGTAAATTTTTGTGCTGGTATATGTATAAAGAGATACAGTATGCTTATTTATCAAAATATTAAATGGCAGTTATCTGAAGACAAAGTTTCAGGTAATTTTTAATGTGTTTTCTTCATACTTTTAAGAATTTTTTAAAAAAATACTTGTATTTAAATATATATTATATAATTATATTATACATAACTTATAGCACAATGAGAATGTATATATTCAAATAAAGGAAAATCAAAACATTGACTTTATTAGGGAGAGAGGCATTTGCTAAGTGCCTTCTGTAAAGTAGTTTTCCCTTATCCACATTTTCTCTCTCTGTGGTTTCAGTTGCCCAAGGTTAACCATGATCTCAGAATATTAAATGGAAAATTCAAGAAATCAACAGGGAGTTCTAAATTGTGCTCCATTCTGAGCAGCATAATGAAATCTTGCACTGTCCTGCTCCATCCTGCCCCAGATGTGAATCATCCCTTTGTCTGGCTTAACCGTGCTCTCTCTATACCCCACCCACTGAAGTCTCACAGCTCATAACTTGGGCCCATGTCTTTCTAACCGTAGTGATAATTGCATTTTACATGCTTATCCCACATACCACATATCTTCCTTTATTTAACAAGCTGTTCTGTCCTGGAAGGAGCTCTGTGGATGTAATAGAATATGTCATTTACTCTTAACAGCTTTAAGGGAGAATTGAGGTATTTGTTGTATATTACAGGTTTTTACTTCCAAAATTAAGTTTGAATCAGTAAATATTGAGAGTTCCTGAGAATCTGTATAAAAGCAAAACTATTAATGTTTTATGTAGTGTGTGTGAGTTTCTGTTTTTTAAGTAATAATAATAATATTTACCTTTGAGCCCTATTTCCGCATAAATATAATACATTTATTTCTTTTTAAATTTAGTCAACCAAAAGTAGAAGTTTAACAATTCCATTGCATTCATTTTAAAACTTTTAAATTCTTTATCTTTAGGTTATCTTCATTGTAATGAATATGATAGTCTGAGATTGAGGTGGCTGAGGCAGACGTTAGAATCTTTCATCCCAGAGCCTTTGGAAAATGTAATTAAAGTGTCTGAATTGGATGGCAGAGAAATGGGAGATGCCCAGCCTGAAAAGTTTGACAAGGTACTTTATTACATTGTGGCAAACGGATGGACGCCCAGTTATACCACTGTTGTGTTGTTTTGTTTTGTTTTGTTTTCCATCTGTTTCCGGACAGAGCCTGATACAGTTTCTTAGTACCCTGGGAAATTCTGATAAGTGAACCTGGAAGTAGTTTTCATTTGATGGTCAGCATGGTTCAAAGGAAGCGGTAACATTGGGATTGGAGATTACAGAATGTTTTTTATTTCCAGGTACCTCAAAGATATTTAGGAAAAGATCAGATATTACTTGTGTCAGTACACAAGCATGTGCATTGTATTGCTCTAATTTGGTAACATTTCATATCAGAGTATGATAGTTGAAGAAAAAGAACATTTCAGTAAACTGAAATTGAAATATTAGTTCCTAAAAATAAATGCTGAGAATGCAGAAATATACTATCTGTTTAAAATGAGTCACTTTTATAAAATCTTTTGCTATAGTTGTCAAGTATATGAAATATTAGTGGACATTAGTAGATTTTTTAGTCCTCCCCCCATTCATTCTCTTTCTTTCTCTCTTTCTCTCTCTCTCTCTCCTCCAAAAATCCAAACACTGAAAGTGCACAGGAAATTTTGTTGAAAGTATTAGTAAAGAAATGTCGAAATGTCATAAAGAAGAATTATCATGGTGTATTTTTGGCTTTAAAAGAATTGACTTTATTTGCTATTTTTGGTCATGTTTTACATAGCTTCCCTATATACTTTGTGTCTGAGGATGTATTTTCAGCACATATTTGATTATGTATCTTCTTTTCCCCTAGGTGTTAGTTGATGCTCCTTGTTCAAATGATCGAAGTTGGTTGTTCTCTTCTGATTCTCAGAAGGCAGCCTGTAGGATAAGCCAAAGGAGAAAGTTGCCGGTTCTACAGATAGAACTCTTAAGGTAAGGGCTGTTAATGCAAACATTTATTTTGGTTCTAATGTAATTTAAATAGATGTGACAAAACATGACAGGAGGAAGTCCCCAAATAGAAGGTTTCCTATGTAGATGTCCAAAGACTGCACCCAGATAATTCTCAATCTTATTCCTCCAAAGGCTACACCCAGAAAATTCTCAGTCTTATTCCTGGAAAGGCTGCACCCAGAAAATTCTTAATTTTTTTCCTCCAAAGACTGCACCCTCTTAATTCTGTTTTATTCCTCCAAAGATTCTACCCACGTAATTCTCAATCTCATTCCTCCAAAGGCTGCATCCTCAAATTCTCAATCTTACTCCTTTAGAGGCTGCACCCAGGTAATTCTCAGTCTCTTCCCTTACAGTTCTCATGCTGGAATGTTCCTTCTGCTCCTGCCCTGGATCTTACTCCTTTAGAGGCTGCACCCAGGTAATTATCAATCTTATTCCTCCAAAGACTACACCCAGGTAATTCTCAATCTCTTCCCTTTCAGTTCTCATGCTGGAATGTTCCTTCTGCCCCTGCCCTGATGATGAAGTACTGTATTACTGTGCCTTGTCTTTTAAAAGGCACAAGTGATTTTACTGTGGTTTAAAATTGTTTTCTTATTGGGTCCATCCCAAACCTAGGTTTCATCACCTTATTCTTTCATCAGGATTTGAAACAGAATGCAGCTTTGGATCCTATGTTTTCCTTCTATTTATATTCTTAATTTGCTCTTAATTAGCTTATCCCATAAATTTTGGGTTTCCTTAGGCAACTAATGTTAGTTAGAGCTCTTTTCTATTTATCAGATGGCTTCAACTGATATAAGACACTATCTCCCAAATATGGGTCTAAGCTCAGATATTTCTCCTTTGTCTCAGAACTTTATATTCAATATTCTACCAGAGATGTCTATTTGGAAGTCATTCAGACATACAGAACTCAATTTGTCAAGAGAGAACTCATAATTTCTAGTGAACTTCTGCCCCACCCATTAACAAAACAAAAAACAAAATAGAAACCCCACCAACCTGTCTCTTTTCCTCTCTTCTATCCTATATAATAAAAGCCTAATATGCTAAGTGTCTGGTCGTCCAGACATCTATTCAACCAATCTAAGCATAATATGCTAGTGATACGCTAAGGCACAGGGAGGGGAACCCTTTGAGCTCGGTGTGTCAGCATTTTGTAAAACCCTAACTTAGCTCTGGTGCCGTGTCACATATAGAAATTCTTTGATATTTGCAACCATAGTAAAACAAAGACTTATATTTTTGATATTTATTTTATATATTTAAATGCCATTTAGCAAAGAAAAATCAACCAAAAAAATGAGTTCGCGTGTCACCTCTGACACGCGTGTCATAGGTTCGCCATCACTGCTCTAGTATCTCAATAATTGCCATGCCTACCACCTTGCATTTGCCCAAGTCAAAGTTCATCTCCAACTCCCCTTTCTCATATGCAATCTATCACTATGATATTTTAGTTGAATCAGTATATTTCTCAAGCCCATCTAATTCTTTTCATCCTTATTAGCCTAAACTACCAGCATCTGTCCTCTAAATTATTGCAACTGGCTCCTAACTGTCCTGAATATCTCCAGGTGTGAGCTCTACTTCACTCACCATGATAAAGCCAAATCTGATCTGAAATGTAGATCTGATCTTGTCATTTTTCTTTTTGAAATTCTGCAGTAATTCCCCATTGCCATACAATGTCAAATTCTTTAGTATGATATTGAAGTCCTTTTTGGATATGGTTAATTCTTATTTCACTTACCTCATGTTTCAGGACTCCCTTGCATTGTGTTCCAACTGTGCAGCTCCTCACACTTACTTTACAGTATCTCATTTCTGAGGCCAGTGCATTTCCTGTTCCTTTTGCTTAAAAGTTCTTCTAACTCATTCTCTCCTTTCTCTTGATTAACCCTACTGGTTCTTACCTGACTCCCTAGGACTGAGATTGATATCCCTCTTCTGTCTTTCACTTTACTTAAAAATTTATTGATTGTTAGTTCCTCTGCTTGACGTTTGCCCAGTAGTTGTCTCTCTCCTCAACATGACCATAAGCCCCATGGGAGCAGGGATTGTCTAATGGTTTTTATTCCCATTATATGATTTGTTTCTTGGAATGTAGAAGGGGGGGTCAATAAATGATTTTTTAAAAACACGAAATTATAAGGGCTGAGTATTTAAAATTCACATCTGTAATTAAATTTAGAGCAAAGTTAATCTGACAAAAATAATGATATGATCATTATCATGCTGTATGGTAATTAGGCTTAAATGTAAAGCAATTCACATAATTTATTTTTATTAGTATTGCTTTTACTTAAAAGCAGTAGTTTAGTTTAGGTTTTCCCCATGTAAAAGGCGAAAGATTTATGCGATCTGAAGAGAAACCAGAGTATAGGTTTTCCCCATGTAAATACATTTCCCTTAATGTCATATAACATTTCAATCATCACGAAGACCCTGCATTTACATAAAGCTCATATAGGCACCTTCTTATGTCCTAACAACTGGGCTCTTTTTTAGTGGCCTCTCCTCTCTCCCATCATCTTACTCCCGCAAAGGATTGGCTACTACATCACTTTAGTAGCGTATCCACAGGGCACAAAATTGACATCTCAGTCACAATGGTTGTAGGTGTTCATGCAGTCATATGTGATGGGAAAAGACCATCATACCAGCCATCGCCCATTCTTTTCCTTGAGCAGTTAAACTATATTCCTTGACTCTGCTGCTTGGTCTGTGTGAGATTTTGGAGCCACTTGAAGCAGCTGAAATTCTTGAACCCCTTGGCTGTGTGATTATAATGATAAAGGGGATGGTGGGGATACCCCAGCTATAGGCACAGAAAATGGTTCTAATTCTCTGAAATCTACAAGTCTGGGGATTAAAAAGATAATGGGACAAAAATAATTCCAGCCACAATCTCTCTTATTTCCTGACTCCAAAAAATGAAGAAAGTCTATAGTATTTTTCTCATCAGGGATGAATCTATCACTGTATCACATACAAAAAAGTTTCTCTTTCTTTTGGATTGATAGTGGATCCTCATTTGTATTTTCAAAGAACAATTAGAAAGCTAGCAAGTAAATACTGCCTAACCTGGTATTGTTGACAGAAGATGGCACTCAGAGGGAGAAAAGGAATAGAAAGGATATGTGAGAAACAAATAAGGAAAACTTAAAAAAATATATATATATATTATTGATTTCAGAGAGGAAGAGAAAGGGAGAGAGAGATAGAAACATCAATGATAAGAGATTGGCTGCCTCCTGCACGGCCCCAACTGACTGGGCCATGACCTCCTGGTTCATAGCTTGAAGCTCAACCACTTAGCCACTCTGGTCAGGCAGGAAAACTTCTTGATTGGCCTAGACTTGTATCTGCTTTTGTTTGCTGACAGATGTAATATTCAAAGGTACTTGATGTTCTCTATGGCTATATATTCATTTACCTTATCAGAAACCATTCATATTTATAGTAAATAGGCAGCCTGCATAGTATGCAGAATTTTAGCTTATGAAAACACTATATTCTACAACCAAATATTAATCTTGTACAAATTTTTATGAATGTGATACTTAAATGAAAATAGACACTTTATTTATTAGAAGTTTCTTGATGTTAAATTTTTTAGAAGGACTAATGTTAATGGATATGGTATAGTAAAATATATGTAATAGTCTTTCAAAAATTCTTTAAAAATTAATGAATGTATATAATCATAAAAATAATCTAACCTGATATTTTAACATGAAAAGCATACTGGAAGGCACAGTGATGACAAGAGAAAGATCTCAAAGCAGATGAGCTCATTGTACACTTATTAAGGACTCTCTGATTTGCCCACACAGAATTAGAAAAGTTAGAATCTTCTATTTACTTGATAAAACATAAAAAGTTACATACAACTCTCTCAAACATCTGTCCCCCCAAATCATTTTCAGAAGATGAGAATGTGGGAAAGGATATAAGGAATAATTGAAGAGAAGCCAATTCTAATTATAGAGTGCCAATTGAAAGTATACCTTTATTATTATTCTCTCTCAAAATAATTTCTGAGACCATTTCTGTTACATACTATACATGTACATACTACATAATCAGATTGTCTGCCTCATTTTTAATTTAAATATATTAAGAAAAACAGTGGGAAAGTATGCTAAAAGTGATTTATATGTAGTCTTTTTAGAAAGTGACCATGTTTTCTGTGCAAGAGAAATTTACATGATTTTTAGATGGGAAAGTATGAATTGAAGAGTATGATTTATAACAAAAATATAGGTATCTTATTGCAGTAATGTATCATGTCATCCATTTCCTCAGAGGAAGTCAATCACATTTAAAATACTGACCCCTTTGGGTTTTCTTTTCTCATCAGTTGACAAGTAAAATCCGGTTTGTGAACTCATTGAAAAAGGAAGCTTAGATTATTTTGTAACATTTTGAAAATTCGTATAAATCATCCATACAACAGTCCTTAAAAAGTGGTTCTTTGACAGTGAAAATTGTATTTCAAAAGAAACATTGAAAAAAACAGCACTAACGTTGTATCTGTTATGCTCTTGAGCTAAGAGATACCTAGTGACTGTGGAGCATGGGCCTTCATCATTCATCAACACAGCACCCAAAATGTTGATGTGCTTATAGTGGAAAAATAATCTTTAGACATATAATTATACTAGTGGCCCTGTGCACAAAATTTGTGCACATTAAAAGGTAATTAATTATAGGAAATATTTTAATATTGCTATTTGCCCTTTCTCTATAATAGAAGTGTCAGAGATGAAAGAAAATTAGTAAAATGTATATGAAAATCTTTTTCCTGTCAGAGTCTGGGACACGCCGTGGCACCCAGAGTCAAGTCCCCGCCCACCTACACACACCTCGAAATTGCGCGAGACCCAGACCCAGCTAGCCCCACCCCCATTGGGCTAGATCCAGACCTGGCCGGCCCTACCCCCATCAAGCCCCGCTGGGCAGAAGGT